ATGAGGACGCACACCATCAAACTGATAGAAGCCGTATGGGGCACAGCTCTATGGGTTGTCATCGCTCACATCATGGCCAAGAAGAAAGTCTTCATATCCGTCTGATTGTTTAGAGCAAGTACTACCCTCAGGTGCTATAGCGAAGTTTCGCGCGGGAAACGTTGGCGAACGCCCGCCAGTTCGATCAGCAATTCTTTCGTATTCTTTCATTACTGTCGACAGTTGGGACGCGGCGGGCAACAATTACCGTGCGATCTTTAAAAATACGCGTTGGTTGTCATATTATCAGAATTTGGTAACTTTAAATGATATAAAATAATGTTTTATATTATTTAGTTAATCAGCTGATATAAAGGCGTTTCTCAAAGACATAATCGTAAGGGGCCATAAAAAAACCAAAGCCCAGTGTGGATTCGCCAAGACTTCAGATGCATCAGCCGGGACCCAACGGCTTTGTATGTATACTCCGTAACGGAAAGTAGTGTAAGAGAATGCAAAATTGGTAACCCATTACATGACAGACCTTTTGAGTTTCAATCCGTACACCACGCTATCTATGTAGTTTGCTTTGACATAATAAAAAGAAACAAAAGATTGTGCAAACTTATATACCTAGACTGCATAAACGTTGTTCATTGTAATCTATAAAATTTATTCGTACCTACGCCCACTGTCTATCAATTAATAAACTTTAATAAACATAGAACCTTTAACTTGTATCAAACAAGACTGACCTTAAATTTGCCTTTAAAAATCTACAGGTCTCGTTGCCGCCGCTATTTTCAGTTAAATCTAGTCTAAATTCTATATGTTTTATCATCATAGTTCTAAGAAAAAACGCTGAATGTATTTTTGTTAGATAATAAGCAAGTAGGTTAAGTTTACTGATGAAAAATATATGAGTTAATAAGAAAAATGTATCTTTTATTTACAAATTCTTTAGTTAAGCATTATAAAATATATTCGAAAAATCTATAAATAGATAAAAGGGATCATTAAGAGAAATAAAACAGTCGGTATACAATATTTGACACTTTATTAGCTCAAGGGTGACAGTAAAATCCGCAATGTCATTGGAAAATAATAATAAAACAAACGATTTAACAAATCATGACTCAAGGTAACAGCTAATAGTTTTAACAAATAAAACTATCAAATAAAATTACACATTTAATACGAATAACAAAACTCCAGGCTTAACCTCAAACTTTAGTCTGGTTGATCCACTCGAAATTAATACAATATAATTAATTTCATATACAGTATATACATATAAATATTCAAAGACCAACTTGCAGATAATGTTCTTATTTTTATGTCTGGATATAATCTCGAATGGACCTTACTCTATTGTCACCCAAATATTATGTGCGGTGCTCTCAAACTAACATGTATAATGTATGCTTGGCATCTATCCAACTTCCCATAAAATCGTATCAAAACTACGACGCTGCATAATGCGCGCACGCACGCACCATAGAGCGATAAATTAATAACATTAATTTCATAAGTTAAAAATATCAACTAATTTAGTTATTTTATATAAGTCGTTTTCAATTAAATCACTCTTTTTGTATAGACAGTAAATGCCATTTTTAGGAATTAACAATGTTTACGCATTAAATACTTTATTATTATTTATCTTTTTTATAAAGGATACTTTTTCGATATTGTTGCTCATGGTAGACCAATTAGCAGACATCCAGGCACGCTTTGTAGTAATATAATCAGTTAACTTGATGATTTTACTAACTGTACGATATACTAGACACCTACCTTGTATAGCGATAATGACACATAAAACAGTGTTAAATATATGATGCATATATATTAAATATTTCTAAAATTTCAATTTGAAAAAAAATCTCTTAAAATATAATTATCTCATTTCTTTCAATACGATCCCCAGTAAAACGGGTCTGTAATATAATAATAGATGATATTTTTAAATATTAATAGACCATTTCCTTATACATCTAAATAGGAAGAACTTTCAAAAAGATTAATTGCACACACAATATAATATTAATACGAAATAATATTCCACAGGGTACTTATGTAATGTAACCGATGTAATAAATTATTATTTTAGAAAATAAATAATATTTTTTTATACAATAACTATAAGAATACCTTTGCTTCGAGCTTATTTAACGTTTGTAGTAGGGGTCGTTAATCATCCAATAAAATGCAAATATTTCTTAAAGGATAATCTTACAACATTTTGAAAGTCAGGTAACGTGATGGCCAATTTTCGTTGCTAACGTGTTTCCACCAAATATCACACCACAATATCAGAAAAAAAAACTGTAATACGATCAAAATAGGACCATAAAATTGAATTTCTAAATTCACCATTTTACATGTTGATAAATAGAAGTATCTGTAAAAAAATTGTATAAAGATATTCGATGCATATACAAGTGAACTATTCAAATAGAACCTTTTTAATCTAAACCTTTAAACATTTTATCACATCCGTTATATTACACTGCCATTATTATTATATAACATCTACAATCATTATTACAAGACAACAGCAAACAGGTATCACCACAGCTGATGTACAGAATGCTAGCGAAGTCATATTTTATAATAGCTTTACAAATCAATAAAAAACAGTTATTTGTACATAAGGTAAAATTATAGTGTATCTATTTCTAAGTTTAGTGTAAGTACGCGAGCTCACTTTAAGTCACTCATAACTCAAGGAAGTATTGGAATGTTTAGTATAAAAGAATGTTAGTTTTACAGATGCGCTCTCTCATACATGTCTGCATGTTAAGAGCTTTCAGATGCAAACGAGAATATTGGCAAGACCGGAGATACTTGTCTCGGAACAACACTATATTTAAATTCAATCTGGTAAATGGTACTCTTAGGCCCGTATTATAGAAAGATTCTCAGTGATTGATCTAGTCTTGAGCATAGTTAGAAAGGGATGTCGTTATATATAGCACATAGCGGCATCCCTTTCTAACTGTACTCAAGTAAAGATCAACACTTAGTTGTCATTCTGTAATACGGGCCTTAGAATGTATTGAGTAAACTGTGTTTTTTATATACGAAACAAGTGCGTGTGCATGCTTATGTTTAGCAATAAAGTCTAAATAAATAAATATTGCCACAGAAATGGCTAATTTTTTTTCGAGAATTTTTAAGAGGGCTATTCTGAGAATTGATGCAGAAAATTGAGGTACAGATTTACGGAGCGGTTAGGCGGCGAGAGATTTTTCCTTAGGCACTAGATATCAATATAAGTTGTCGAGTTAAGTTACAATTAAAAATACTGCTTGAAGCTTGAATATCCTCCTGATATCGTCAAGAAGGTATTAGTGTTAGTTACGTTACTTTCTCGAAGGCATGCCATTATTTGTACTTGTCGATCTATTGAGCGCAGTATGAGGTTGAAAACAGCTTATGTTTCTATTGAGGCCTCTACAATGAGACTTCCGCATGGTTCTACAAGAGACTAGACATAACCGAAAACAATTGTCACACAAATCGGTCTTTTAACAGGTCCTTTATCAGATAAATCTAATTTTATCTTAAATACAAGATAAAATCTCTTAGACGACACACATTTCGCTATAAATGCAAATTCATGGAATTCAATATTAACCTTTAAGACGCGCTTGTATAGTGCGCGCCTTACAATATTATGCTACTAAGATCCCGTCAACACCACACAATAACGCGTTTATATACTTTTTATTTTGTATGCAACTGCGCTTCAGACATCTATACCGCATTTATAATAGTCCTTATGTCATCGGATAAAAGGTGCGATAACATGCGAACTGGTATACTTGGATTGCATGCGGTCTTATCTAATCATAAAATATCTTTTGCCGCTTTAATGGGTCTCGAAACGATAAAGACAAATATACAATTATTAGTTTTATTACCATTAGTAGCAGTCAGTCACAAATCGTTCTATCGCGTGCAGGGCCGGATTTCAGGCAGGGCAGGCGGGGCTGTGGCCCTGGGGCCCCCACAACAGAGATAATAATAACCAAATATTGACGAGCGCCAACCAAATTATATGCAGCGGGTGCAAGATTCAGCGCCTCCACTCCATTGTTGCCCCAAGGCCCCCACACTGAGTCTATCCCTGATCGCTAGTGAAACCCAGTGCCGTAACAGAAACCCTGTTAGGTTTTAGGCCAATAACGCTGTTATATCTCCACAAAACAATAATAATTTCGTGTCTATTTAGCCAACTCGTTGACACAGCAACCATACTAATATAACGTACGCTTTGGGTAACAAATTGAACTCCTTAATAAACTAATTGCACATTTTAATAATGAAAACACGCACAAACTTAATATTAAAATTTATGTTTACTCTACATAGAGCTCTATTAAAATATAATTACGAGATTTCAAACAACACGCGTAAATAACCTATCGACTTATTTAAATCCCCAGTACTATATTCCCTGTCTTCGAGTCATCCCTCGCGTACACGTCGGTCGACGAGAACGGTGTAGAATAAAAAATAAATATCTAGTGTGGCACTCGACAGTCGCGGCCGTAACGATCCAGCACCACGTTTTACAACTATCTACTAAATAGTGAGCAACCATTCGAACTCGCACTCCCGCGGACGCCGTCGCGGGAATCAATGTAAATACATCCAAAACACATCGTCGAACAACACTTCCCCAAGAGGTACCACCAGTTACAAATGTCACTGTCCAACTGTGAGAACTGCAACCACTGCTCGTATATCTCACAGCCTTAAATTGTATACGACGGAGCACGGAATAGTATAGCACAGAAAATTTAATAACGAAATTAATTCATTGGCACTGTAGCGTATTTCAACGAAGTGGGTATTCTCTTTAAACGTGGATGATATTGATGATCACTGTCGCCGTTTTCGTGGCCGACGCCGTTGTTCTCCCGCCATCGTTGGGTCACGTTCGGAAGCTGAGTGGAAATGAACTAACCGTAGGTAGGTAACTAGAGGTTGGCCGCACGTGCGGTGTGACGTCACTTGCGGCCGCGCGCTACCAGCGCTTGCAACGCCGCCAGTTGGCTGAGCAGACTTGCATTCTTCTGTTCCAAAGAGTCGACCCTCTTTCTGTAGTCGCTGTTCTCTGAAACTAGTATTTCCACTTTCCTTTCCAACTGGTCCATGTACTCTTTCTTCTTGCGTCTGCTCTCTTGTGCTGATATCTGAAAAGATGGAAACTTTATTAGGTAACCTACTTAGTGGTCGATTTATACGGAACATAATAACGCTACGCCGGTCTAGGGAAAACTACATTGAAATGAAAATATAATACCATAACCAAGCTCGTCTAACAATTTGAAGACCGGATTTCCTGGAAATTTATCCAACTGAAGATGTCTAAATAAAAATCAAAAAGCAAAATCCTTTCCTATAAATAAAATAGGGATAGAAAAGGGGGAAAAAGTATATAACATTGAAGAATATAAACACCAACCTTATTTTTAATTTTCCTTCTTATTTTCTTAAGAGACTTCTCTTCGGCCTTAGTGAGGGGCAGGCGCGTTGGCACCGGGTACCCTTCAGCCAATAATGTGCGCTTCTCTTCTTCTGTCAGCACTAGAGTGCCTGTTGACCCTTTCTGTAAACAATAATAGAAAATATTGAACTTGAACTCTATACGCACAAAAATAGAGAAACTTTATTTATGATTAATCATCTTCGGACGACACTAGAAGAAATATAGATTTTAACTTACTTTAATAGAAAAAGCTGACAATCTTTGTAATTTGTATTTATGAACGTACCCCTCCCGACTACAGAGGAATTAAAAAATTGTAAGAATGGAATGGATGAATTCATAAGAAATGGAAGGTCCATCATACCGGTTGTATGCTGATCAGAGGTGTGTTAATGAGCCGGTGCCACTCGCACCAGGTAGAGGCGCGCGCGGCGCGGCGGAAAATTATGACGCGACGTTTTTTCTATTATTTTCTCTATTAAAGAAAGTTAAAAAGGAAAACGAGCGATCTGAATTCCAAAAACACAAAAAGAAACCAAAGGAATTATGGAATCTTATTAAAAAAGTCACTAATCTTAACCAAAAAGATTCGAACTATCTACATCTAATGACCCGCAATCGGCTGTTGAATCGATCAATGCATTTTTTTCTAAGGTGGGCAAAGATTTGGCTACTAACATAATTGAAGACTCTTTGAATACGACACTCTTCAATTCTTCCAGAGAACCCGATGTTTCTGTTTTGGACTCCATGGTATTGCTGGACACTATAAGGAAATTGAGAAAATTATCTTGGGTCTTAGGCAGAATTGTGCAACTGGCTGTGATGGTATTCCAATATCCCTGATTAGGGAATCGAGGCATATCTTGATTCCCGTGCTCAAACATGTGTTTTGCACATGCGGTTTTAGGGCTGGAAAATGAACGGAGGATGCAGTTTTGGAATTAACCAGTACTGTCGTTAAAAATCTTAATTGTAAACTAAATTCATTGTGCATATTCCTTGATCTCATTCAAGCATTCGACACTGTATCTGTTTCCATTCTTCTTTCAAAATTACAACGTATTGGTATAAGGGTACTGTGCTAAAAATATTTGAGAGCTACCTTTGTGATTGTACTCAATGCGTTACTATTGGCAATTATACTAGTTGATATGAATTAATTACATATGGCGTACCACAGGGAAGTGTCCTGGGCCCAACTCTGTTCTTGATATACATAAATGATTTGTGTCAATTGAAACTGCCAAACAGCAAAATAGTTACATATGCTGACGACACGGCAATCATTGTACATGGGCATTGTTGGGAGGCGGTTCGTTCAAATGCAGAATCCTCGATGCGTTCCACCATGCTATGGTTGTCCCGTAACCTGCTCACATTAAACTTAAGTAAGACTAAATTTGTCACTTTTGCTCCAAAACTCTCACCACAGCCAGAGTCCTCGTTTGCAATAACTGCTCATAAATGCAACATGCCTCCTTGTTTCTGCACCTCAATATCACGCGCTCATAGTATTAAATATTTAGGTGTTTCAGTCGATAGTGTTATGTCATGGAATGAACATATCAAATGTACCACGACGCCTATCAGAAAACTAATATTTGTTTTCAGTAAGTTGATAGTTGGCGCTGACCTGACTCTAAGGACTGCTTATTTTGCTCTTGTTCAGTCTCTTATTTCATACTGCGTTACAATTTGGGGTGCTGCCGGAAAGACTAAAATGCTACAGCTTGAAAGAGCCCAAAGGGCAGTGTTGAAAGTTATGATCTCAAAGCCAATAAGGTATCCAACCAATGAAATACTTCGATTTTGGGAAGTTCTCTCTGTGTACATTTAAATTTACATGTTTATTTTAAATGCTGTTCTTGCAAACACAAATCCCTTACATACGATCCTAATATTTTTTAAAATAAAAGAAGAAAGGTCAAAGTATGTTTTGTGGTGGGTTGTAGACTTGTACTGGCTAAACAGCCCCTGCTGTACAATAAAATAAACAAAAATTTAACTTTTATCCTCTCGGCTTGTATAAATGTAAAGAGCTCACTCGTGAGTGGCTACTTAGTCTTGATTATAATGAGTAAGTAAGTAATAGAGCTTTACATAAGGAATACACACTCATCACACTCACGTACACACTTACAAACACACACACACACATACACACATTAACACACAGACAGACAGTTACACACACACACACACAAACACATGCATGAATTTTGTTAACATAGTTTAGTATTTGTTTAAGTTAATCGAATTTGATTGAATATATATATAAAAAATACTTTGTCAATACAATATGTATGTCTGAAACGCCCGTCTGTTCAGAGGTGGGCGCTAACATCTGCAACACAGTCTTCGACTACTGCGGATGTTAACGCAAACTGTGTTTATGTACAAATGTTTTGTGTTTCAATAAAGATTTATTATTTTCAAACAATAATGTGCAACAGGGATAGATAGTCTTGTTTAATCACTTTTGATTCGTTTCTTTATTGGCACGAGAAAATCCAAAGTCAAAATAGTGCAAGATATTTTGTACTATGATGGTTCATCTGCACCTGTGATAAATGTATTATCATTGTTACTTACCGGTTGCGTGCTAATCAGCGGTGTGTTGATGGGCTGGCGTGAGTGGTGTGACACGTAGAGGTGCGAGCGTCGCGGCGGCGCGGCGGGGGGAGCGGGAGGCGCCTCGTGCGCGGGAGACAAGGCTCCTTCGCTATCAGACGACGACAGTGACGACGGCGGTGTCGGGGGTAAATTGAATCCTATATACAAGGAGATAAAATTAAGAAAGGGACCTCACGTCAGGAGTGAAAACGTATTATAAGTATTAGCGTGCCTTCGCTGTCAGACCACGACGGCGTGAATAGCATATTATCAGGATGGGAAATCTATGAAGCACCTGTTTTAATTACCCGATGGATATGTTGCTGCAAACGTTATTTTTTTTATATTTTCTATTATGAATTGGCTCTGTTCATCTAGCTGGCACCCCTGTGTGCCCGCACACTTCGCACTTCAGGCGCAGTGCGACCGTGATCATTAAATATAGTAATTTATAAATACGCAACTAGAGGTGGTCACTGAATTGGCGAGAATTTTAATAGTTCCTTTCTATTTAAATCTTTAGAATTAACAAACATATAACAACAGATCGTCATCATACGCTGTCATGAAAAAATGGATTTCTACCTTTATTTCAATAGAGATAAAAGTAGTTACATTTTTTATCAAACCAATAAGATTCAGAATCGCAAGGATACTTTTGATGTAGTTTGATGAGCTGTTTTGTATACGTGCGCTTCGTATCAATAAGGCTGTCATTTTAGTTAGAGACAAATAATTTCTCTCAGCCGTAGTCCAGAGATTCTATGGACCACTTGCAGCAATTTTGCTAATTTCGATTCAATTAAACCTAGATTTAAACGCGAAAATTGTCAAAACGGCAATGTAATTTGACATTATTGTATGGGCTATATCTAAGTTTTAGTTAAATTGAGATCAGCGAAATTGCTGCAAGTGGACCTAAATAATTTAATGTCATTTAAAGTTACGAGTTGTCTTTCTCTAATGTATAATAAGCGAACAAAAAAACAGCACTAACTTTAATCTAACTAAAAAGTCATTTGACGTTTCCATCTACGATTGTAAATCAAGCTAACATTTTAGATACTAACCTGAACCGCTCGAGCTGGTGACTTTGATGGACAGTTTGTTCGAGGACAGCGAGTTGGCGAGCCGCGGCGCCGCGCTCAACAGCAGCTGTGGGACTCCGGCGGCGCCTACTTTCTGCAATACCGCCTGTGGCATGTGAATAGTGCCTGTCTGGAACAAACAATCAGTTGTACATTATAAACTAGGTGGAAAAAACACTGTATGAATAACGTCGAACTAAATGAGAGTTTGATTAGATAACATAAAATGGCAAACTACTTAATATTAACGAATAGCAGCCGCTTTAGTTTTTTGAGAATCCCACAGGAACCTGTCATTTTCCGGGGTGAAAAGCCTCCTATGTCTCAATCTAGGTTATACACTATATGCGTGTAAAATTTCATCCAAATCCGTCCAGTAGTTTATGCGTGATTGAGTAACACACATTTAAACATACAAACTTTCGCATTTATAATATTAATCGGATACATAAATTACTTGGATTTAAGGTAAGAATGCAGATTTATAGATGGATTCCATAAAATACCGTGGTAAAAAAAAGCTACGACAAATATTGACGATATTACTAAACGAATTTTCGGCTGGCCGCATAGTGACTGTGACGTCATAGAGCTCTAGCGCTCGAGCGCGAGCGTGCCTAGAGACGCTACTAAAGTTCGACCGTTTCCGATACCGTTCGAAGTTGTAAATTCGGCATAAATCCTCATTTTACATATTTTTTGCAATAAGTACTTAACGGAAGAAAGGCTAGATAATTTTATGCTGCATAGATTTAACATAATATCTAGCATTTCAATGCTTAAAAATAAAACATAATAAAGTGGAATAGATTAGACCTTACTTGATTCATCCTTTGGTGAAATCTAGATGGAATGATAGAGTAAACAATCTATTGCAAACAATCTGTCTAACACCCGACAAGTATGGATGAAAATTGGTAAGATGCGTAAGGTTTTGAAGGTTTAGGTTATGAAAATGGGAAAAAAAGTTTTATTTAATAATTAGGAGTTATGAATAACATTTTTTTTTTCACTGTTTCTTAATCAAACTTGTCACCTGGTACTTTGTCGGGGTAATGATTTTTATACGGACACATGTATATAGTTTTTGACGATTTATATAATTATATTTAGTAGGAGAGCTACTGAACCCTCCGAGTAACGGTCTGTCTGTAAGGCTAGAAATTCTTATGGTGATGAGTCATAGCATGCTTAGTACGGTAAGAATCGTCTGGCACTCCTCAGCCCTGCACGTCATCAAGCCGTATATTTTTGAAAGTGTCAAAAAAATATTTAAAAAAAATTTGTTGCTGTAAGCTTGAAATTTTTATACAATGTATTTAATCATTTTTAAGTTAAAAAAATTGCCAGACGTTTACGATGAGCACAAGTACCTGCCAGACGAATCGGAAGGTGTGTAATATATACATAAAAATGAACTTTATTCTGTAAAGTTGAAATTAGAAGACAACATAATTTACAATTTAATGACATTTCTTAGCCAGAGGAAGTTCATGATAATACAGGTTATCATGTGAAGTGTTACAAAAACTTTCTTGCTGTTATGAAAAAATAGCATCATTGGCGGGGGTATATTTTTATGAACTTACATATTCTTTATTTTCATCTAAGTATCGAGTTGCATTTTTTCAAATCGGTAACTTCACAGAATCATGCACACTACTAAATATATATTAATCAACGGTAATTAATTTCAAATTCTGAGCAGTAAGTTATGTAAGTTTTCATACTACGACTCTTACTCGCACTGCCGCAGCATCTTTCTCCTCGCCTGGCAAGGACTTGTGCTAGCCAGAACCGCCGGCATTCTACCTACTTACTTTAAATCGCTTAAACAAACACATATATAAATTTTAACTTTACAGAATAAAGTTTATTTTAATGTATATAAAAATATAAATATAGCGATTTAAAGTGGTGGTAAAGGAAGGTGTGTAATATATACATATTACACACCTTCCGGTTCGTCTGGCAGGTTCTTGTGCTCATCGTAAACGTCTGCCATTTTTTTCAAACTTAAAAATGAATACGCTGCATTGTATAAAAATTTCGAGCTACAGCAACAAGTTCTTTTTAAATTATTTTTTTGACACTTTCAAAAATATACGGCTTGATGACGTGCAGGGCTGAGGAGTGCCAGACGATGCTTACCGTACTAAGCATGCTATGGCTCATCACCATAAGAATTTCTAGCCTTACAGACAGACCGTTACTCGGAGCGTTCAGTAGCTCTTGGGCTATTAGGTCAACTTGCAGCAATTTTTATAAGTTTCAATTTAACTAAAACTAGTTACAAGTTACAACCCATAGAAAAATATCAAATTGACATTAACGCTTTTATACTTACACAGTATTTAACTTTACCAAAAGATTTCATATATTCAGGCCAGACTAAACATTTATGTTTTCCTCAGTGATAATCCTACGCCGAGACGTAGGATGTCAAAAATATTAAAGACTCATTTGAGTATTCCCCTCCACGGAAATCTTTAGTAAAAGGCGAAAGATTTATACGTTTTGAAGGGAAACCAGAGTACCACATAAAGTTGTACCCAAAGTATCTAAGAGCTCGTGGGACACATGCGATACCGCGATTCAGATGGAGGGCAGCGCCATCTATTGTAGATCTTCCGTAAACTCATCAAATTAAAAACAATGTATAAGTTATGATTATGACTAGGTATTTTGAGTACATAGAAATTTATACAAATTGACTATATAATGTCATTTATAATCCATAGTTTAAACAAATGAGATTAGAATACATCATTTCTTAATCTTTATATATATAATTCTTCTGTGAGTGTGTATGTCACTGAACTTCTCTTAAACGACTGGACCGATTTTGATGAAATTTTTTGTGTGTGTTCAAGGGGATCTGAGAATGGTTTAGATTCACAATTTTGTCCGCTGGACAACCCCTATTTTTTTTAGGGCGGTACGAAGTTCGCTGGGTCAGCTAGTTGTATATATATGTGTAAGTAATAAATCGCATGACTCATTTAATAATGTAATAAATAATACAGTCTATGACATAATAAATTGGATAAATCAAAATAATTTAATAGTAAATAAGGACAAAACAAAATATATTCAGTTTATAAACAAAGGGGGTACTGAATGCAAATTATCAATTTTATCTAATGACAAGATACTAAAAGAGGTTGACTGTGCTACTTTTTTGGGCATTGAAATTGACGATAAATGTTCTTGGAAATCCCACATCGATAACTTATGTAGTAAGCTAAATAAATTTTCATATGTACTAGACAAACTGCTTTAAAGGCTTATTATGGGTATGTGGCTTCTAATATTAGGTATGGCATTTTAGTATGGGGCAATTCAGTGAAAGTAAAAAGAGTTTTTATAGCACAAAAACAGTGTGTTAGAGCCATTATTGATGCTAGTCCCTGGTCCTCCTGTAAACCTATATTTATAGAACTTGGAATATTAACTGTTGTGTTTATATATTTTTGATATTTGCGTATTTGTGAAAACTAATATGAATCTCTTTACAACTAAAAAGACTGTATGTAGTTTCATGACAAGATTTCCTAATAAGTTGGAATTACCTATTGCGAGAACTAATATTTACAAAAACAGTACGTATGTTATGTCTGTGAAAATATTTAATAACATACCAGAGGACATAAAAATGTTTCCACTAAGATTAATTTAAGTCTCGGTTACAAAAATGGCTACAGGACAAATGCTTTTATTCAGTGGGAAAATTTTTAGCACAAAATCATAATTCATTTGTAATTAAGTTACGCGATTTTCAATTTTATAAACATTGACTATTATAAGAAATGAACATTTGGATTTGATATGAATATGTAATATATTGTTTGAATGTTTTTTTTTAATTAATAATATGATGTAGATTTATAAAGGACTTGATTTTGAATTGTTTTGAGGTTATTTGAATTGTTTAATTTTATATGTTCTTTGTATTGCATGCTGTGTGACAGTAAATATGTGATACTTTATTTATACTGAATGTGTAACGTAACATCAAACACTAATGTAACATCTTATGTACACCATTTTTTATGCAAATAAAGACTTCTGACGTATATAAACTACTCAAAACAAAATAGGGCCCACCCATAAATAATCCAGTATATTGTCTAAAAAAAATATATAGGGCAATTATTGGCGAGTTGAAGCATTTTAACTTATTGTTGACATGTTTACGAATCATTATCAATGTTTCAAGCGACAAGTTAAATGTTACTCTTAAGTGAGCAAACAAAAAAGTGAAGTGCCCTAATAATCGTCCAATTTTAAAATTTCTAATCAATTGTGTTCTCAGTCTCAGTCTGACTGTTCCTGTTGCACCTTGTTGTTTTATTCATTTTGTTTTATTTTCTACGTTATTTGTGATCATTATGCCTGGTTTTCGCCGTCATATGGATATGGAAACAGCTTCAAGAGCGGTGGCTATGCTTCAGGAAGGACATTCACAGAGATCAGTGGCAATACGAGTTGGTGTGTCATGTCGCGCTATCCGTAACCTGTGGGAACGCTACCAAGAGACTGGTAGTGTTGCTAGGAGAGCGGGAACAGGAAGAACTCGAGCTACCACCGAACAGGAAGACCGTTATATCCGATTGACTGCACGTCGAGAGCGTACAATCACCGCTCGGACCTTACAAAATCGTTTACGCCAATCTACTGGCACACGAGTAAGTGATCAAACCATTCGGAATAGACTTCATGAGAATGGCCAATGATCCAGAATGCGAGTAATCCGGCTCAAGTTGACAAGGGCACATCGTGCAGCACGGTTAAGATTTGCTCGCGAACACTTAAATTGGACCATGGACAACTGGAGGACAGTACTGTTTACAGACGAGTCTAAAGTGAAGTTTTTTAGTGACGATCGTCGAGTCCGCGTGTGGAGAAAAGAAGGCGAACGTTTTTCAGAAGCGTGCATTCACGGAACAGATCGTTTCGGGGGTCCAAGTGTAATGGTATGGGCTGGAATTAGTTTAATGGGCAAAACTGAACTGGTATTTCTGGAAGAAGGCACCGTTACTGCTGCCAGTTACATCGAGCATATAATCCAACGTCATGTCATCCCATTTAGGCAAAGAATCGGTGAAAACTTCGTCTTCATGCAAGACA